CGACCGGTGGCAGGCGGTGACTGGAGTGGACGAATGATGTGAGATGGGCTGGCCTCGCCACCACCTCCCAAGGAACTGGGTCCCCAGCCACCCCCATGGCCCGAGAGCGCGGGGGAATGGCCGGTACTGTAGCTGAGTGAGGGGCTGGCTGTGGGCATCCCCTGGGAGTGGGCAGCTGGCCCTGGGTATGGCTCGCCCTGCACCCCATACAGTTGCCCCTGCAGCTGGTCCGGGGAGTAGCTCTGACATGTGGCCAGGCCAGGAGGAGGGGGGCCACTGGGGGGCTGTGGGGGGCCCCCTGAGTAGCTGGGGCCTTTGCTCAAGTCCTGTGCCTGCCCCCCTCCAAACCCTTGACCATAGGCCTGGGGTCCCAGAAGCCCTTGGGGCTGACCAGGGGAATAGGCCTGGCCCCCTGCCCCTCCAGCCCCAGAGGCCTTCCCAGTGGCATAGGCGGCTGCTGGCCCACCCAGGCTCTGGCATTTGGGGGTGGCGGTCGAACGGGGTGGGGGGGGCCTGGTGGCACCCCCGGCAGCTGCTCCATAACCACCTTTGCCTGTCTTGTACCCAGGCGACTGAATGATGGGGCGGTAACCTCCACCACCACCTCCAGCCCCACCGCCCCCTGCCGCCTCAGGGCCCGTAGCCCGGCCTGATGCCCCTGCCGTGGCTCCGCTGGGACCAGCCTTACTAGGCTCCCCAGCACCCGGAGAGGGCTCCCCACCGCCCAGGGGGCTGCAGGCCAAGTTGGCCCGGTGGCCCATGGAGGGGTAGCTGCCTCCACAGCTCAGGTAGTGCTGGAGGGCATGGGCTGGTGGCGGGGGCGGTGGGGGCTGGGCACTGGCCGGCCGCTGGTAGTGCTTGATGACCGTGTCCTGGCGGGGCAGGGCCCGCTCAGGCGGCGGGGGGCCTGGGGCAGCACCCGAGAAGTTGTAGAGCTGTGGGGAGGACTGCTCGGCCGCGGCGGCAGCGGAAGAGGAAGCCAGCAGGTTGAACTGAGTTGGGAGGTGGCGAGGAGGTGGCGGGTCTGGGGGACCAGGTCGGTAAGGGGGGGTCTGGGCTGGACCGAGACCAGCTGGCCCCAAGACACCGCCCCCTGCCAGGCGCTCAAAGCCCAACGAAGAGGGCACCGTGGGTGCCTGCGAGGGCTTCAGGTGCAGCACGTCATGGGGGGACAGGAGCCCGTTGGCTGGAGGGCTGAATGGGGGGTCCTGGAGGCTGAGGGACGAGGGCACTGGGAAGGGGCGGCTGCCGAAGGAAGCCGGGTGTTGGTAAGCCGACAGGGCGGAGGAGGACGGAAAGGTGCTGGAACCCGGCAGGGCGCCCGAGATGAAGAGCTCCGTGGGGCCTGGCGTGTGCATGGCTGGAGATGAGGAAGACGGAGGGTGAGAGAGGACAGCAAGCCAGCCCCACCCTGGCCCTGCAGGGCCGGCGCTGGGCTTACCTGTTTGCCAGGAAGGACTGCGGAACTGGGAGAGGAGAGAGGAGGCGGAGGGGCCAGGCTGGGGGCCCCGGGATTCCAGGGCCGAGATGAGGTTCATGACGGAGGCGTCGGGCCCTGCTGAGCCCGCGTGGTGGAGGCCAGTGTCGAAGAGTCCAGAGAGGCCTGGCCGGGGACAGGGGGTAGAGTCAGCCAGGTGGGAATGCGTAGGGCAAGGTCAAGAGAGAAATGGAAGAGGCCAAAGGCAAGGTGGATCAGAAAAAGGAGGGGAGGGGAGAGAAAAGGGCAAATTCAAAGAGGAGAAAATGGACAGAACCAAGCTAATGAGACAGGAATGAGGGGAGGGAAGGGGGAAAGGTGAGACAGCAAAGCAGGACAGCAGGCAATCCAGTCATAAGCGCAGGGGGTCCAGGTAGGAAATGGTAGACAAAAGCGTAAAAAATCTAGAAGTGAAAGAGCCAGCGGCAAAAGGGCAGAGTCCTCAGTAAGGACAGGAGGGAGACCAAATTTGTGTATTTCCAGCAAGTTAGAGCAAAGGACGGTACGACTGGAGTCTCAGAAAGACCAGAGGACGAATCAAAAGGGATTGCACCACGTGGGAAGATTCGGAGAAAAAGATGGGAAGACAAAAAGGGAAGGAGCCAATCAGGAGGGTCGAGGGTCAAACTGGACAGCATCACGTCATTGCCGGTACCCCGAGGAAGCGGGAACCAATCAGAAACCTTGGAGGCAAAGACAAGGGGGTAAAATAAGGCAATGGGGCAAAATAAAAAAAAAAAGAGGGCGGGCCAGATAATTGGAGCCAATCAGGAAGAAAGAGAATCAGGAAGAAAGAATTCAGAGTTGCAAGGAGCCAAAAGAATAGGGCAAACCCAGAGGGAAAGAATTGGGGTGGGCTGCAGAGAGGCGGAAAAGCCTGGAAGAGAAGGTGGGATTTGGGGGCTGATGGGACGGGGCCAATTGGAGCGAAAGGGGCGGGACGAGGCAGGGGCGGACGAATCCGGGGAGAAATGAAGCAGGGACCAGCAGCCTCAAAGGCAACCAATCAGAGGAGACACAGCAAGGGGCGGGCCACGGCAGGGGCCACGTCCAATTAGGAGGGGCGGAACTTTCAACAGCCAATCAGCTGCCTCGGGAGGAGGGTTAGCCCAAAAGGGGCGGGATGGGGGCCGTACCTGCCGGGTGGTGGTTGGTGGCATAGCTTTGCAGTGGGTGGGGGGCCGCGTAGGCCTGGCGGTGTAAGATGTCCGTCTCGGGGTGCGAGGTCCTGGAGCTGCCATAAACCAAGCTGGGGGGAAAGGGTAGACGTCAGGGGGGTTCTCCCAAGCTGCCTTCTCAGAAGAGAGCTCAGGAAAACCCCCGGGGAGTTGGGGGGACACTTCCAGCTGACTGGGGTGGGGGGTGTTAAGCTAAGGAACCTTAGGCCTTAAAGGGGAGAATCGGGGTGCCCAACTAAAGAGCCACAGAAATGGCCCCCACTCCAGACCCCGGATAGTCACGTTTACAAACAGGCATGCTTAGAGACGACACTAACACACAGAAGAGGGTCCAAGGCAGAGAAAGTGTCTTGAGCTGCAAATGTGAGCCCCCCGCCATCGACCCCACCGACCACCCACCCCAGCCCCCGTGCTGGCGACACAGGCCGTAGGGCCAACCCCAGAGTTGCACATGGACGCCCCCTGTTCTGTAGACACATGGGAACACAGGCCTTGAACTCCATGAGGTGCAAAACAAGTTGGGAGCAGAACGCAGATCGGTCCCCAAGCAGCAGCGGTGGCGGGGTGGAGAGAAGAGGGAATAAGACCCGGGGAAAGTACCAGGTACAAGTGTGAACAAGAACACCGTCCATCCCCGGGGGTTGAGGTTCAAATGCCTGGGCCCGTGCAATGCCAGGTATGTGTGCAAACGGGTATCCAACTCACCCGTGGGGAAGAAAAGATATAGACGGAGGAGTCCCACACGGAAAATCCTGACATACTTGGGGTTATGACCTGATGGGAAACCCAGGTGTGTTGGGGGGGAGGTGCTCAGAGTCAGGTGAACTGTGAAGTGTGAGGGCGCCACACCAAGAAGCAGCAGGAAAGGGGCAGATTCACAGGTGAACACGCTGCCAGCCCCGCACGCACAGGGCCCACGCTCATACACACAAACACACGGGAAACACGCGACTCTTCCTAGGCAACGGCCCCAATCCGTGGCCGGACTCAAGAGGGCAAACCCTCCACTCCTTGCCATCAACTAGGATTCTCTGCCTTTGGGGGTGGAGGCATTAAAGGGGGCGTGTCCCAGATGCCGGACCCCCCCTTACACACACAACCCCAGCTTAGGAAGGGGGCGGGGCCCCGTGCCCACTCTGCGCGCGGAATTTCTTGGGGGGGCGCCTATCGGCGCGGCCTCGCACAGTCCTGGAACAATAGGACCTGAGAGGGGGTTCGCGCCCCCCAAATCTGCGTTCTAATTCTTCTCTTCTTCCCACCTTTGCAAGAGCAGTGCCTGGGGCGCGGGGGGGAGGGGTCACCAAGCCGGGAATCCAAGGATGGGGGGAAGTCCAGGCCTTGCTTCGCCAGTCCCTCCCACCTTCCCAAGGCCTTCCCGTCCGAAATTGTTTTGCACCCCCATTTTCCCGCTGCAATTCTCCCTTTGCATGCTGGAGCTGGCTTTGGCGGAGTTTGCAATTTGCAAACTGGGGCGGCGGCGTTGTTACAAACCAAGGAAGGCCGCTCCCTTGCAAGCCGGAGGGGAGTTTGCGATGCACGCGTCGCCGGGCGGGCCCGGCCCGGCCCGGCTGGGCTCCCACCCCTTGGCCCCTTTCTCCAGGCCACCCTCAGCTCCTTACCTAGCTTTCGCTGACCTCTCGTAACTCCATCCCGCCCCGGCGCCGAGCGGGTCCCCGAAGCCGGCGCTGGGGTAGTTCCTGTCCATGAATTGGCCGCGGTGGAAATTGGGGGGAGGGGGAGGGAGGGAGGGAGGGAGGGAGGGGGCGCGCGCGCGCTCTCCTCCGCCGCCGCTCCCTCCGCTGCTGGTTTTTTTTCCCCCCTTTTCTCTCTCTCTTTTTTTCTTTGCAGCCGCGGAAGGCCCGGGAAGGCCCCGGGCGGGGGAGGGAGGGGGCAGGGGCGGAGGGGCGGGCAAGGGAGGGGGTGCAGTCGCTGAGCCAAGGAAGGGGGAAGGGGGGTTCCCCCTAGAGGAGGGAAGGGGGGAGGAGGGACCCCGCTGTCTCCGCCTTTGCCCCGGCGCTTGCGAGAGAAAAGGGGGGGCCCGCGCTTGGGAGGGGGCGTCCCGGGCGGCCCCGGGGTGGGTGCAGGCGATGGGTGCTCGCTCTCTCGCCGCCGCCGCCGCCGCCTCCTCCTCCTCTGCGCTCACGGTGCAGCCATCTTTGCACAAGGCGGCTGGGGGAGGGGGAAGGGGAGGGGGGGCGGGCGGCGGGGTGTCTGGCTGCGCTCCGCTTCCTCCCACAATCCCGTGCAAATGCAAAAAAAAAAAAAAGAGAGACAGAGAGAGAGAGTGAGCGGGGCCTGCGGGTGTAGGGCGCGTTTGCACAGAAAACCAGTTCTAATGCGCCCGAGATCGCGATTCATGTCATTAGATTTTTTTTTTTTGCATTGTTTCTGCTTTATTTGGTCTCCTTTCCGAAGGGTTTTTATTTAGGGGAACAGCTCAACTCCAGCTCCTTAGGTGTAGTGCGAGCCTGCCCGCACCGAGTACACTTGCGAATGTGCCCCCCACTCTTTCCCTGGGTTACGAAGCGCCCCTGTACCACACGGGGAGTGCACGAAGACACGCGTGTGCCCAGGCAGGGATCTGCGTGTGCGTACCCTGTGGCACTGGAGGGGATGGACAGGTCATCTGCTCACACATAAGACGGCACAGCCGGGACTTCGCTCCTGGGTACGAGTTTCCCCGTGCGTCTGTCTACCACGGGGGCAGGGTTTGACCGGTGCCCTCACGGTCAGGAGAGTGTGGGGGCCCGTGAGGGACCAGGACACAGGAACATGTTGCCGAGAACATATGTATATCCATACGCGGCGGCAACGCGTGTGCCAGGGCAGGCCTCGGGCCGGAAGACCCCTATTCCCACTATCCCTCCCTCCAAGTCCAGTTTCGGCGTCTACGAGGCCTAGCGGCTTCCGGAATCCGGTGTGAATCAGGGTCGCGGTTCGGAGAGCCGGGTCTGAAAGCAGCTCTTCAGTGAGGCCTCCTGAGGCTGCAAGAGGAGAGGCACACTAGGGAGTCAAAGATCCTGCTGATTTTTCCCCCCTCAACCGGGACCACTCCGACCGCCCTTGGCGTCTCAGCCAATCCCGAACCCTCTGGGCACAGACCCCACCCTCCTATACTGCTCCACACATACAACGCTGGGCCACGCCCCTAGACTATTGCATGGGGCTCCGCCCCAAGCCCCAAGCCCCGCCCTAGATAAGGCCCAAATTTCAAGTCCCGCCCCTGAGCCCAGGTTCCACCTCCAACCGTGCACAACCCTCTGCGCCCCGCCCCCGGGCAGAAGCCACGCCCCATACCTGCTGTAGGGGGGTGGAGGTGCGTCGTGTACCCCAGAGGCTGCCAGCGCCTGCTCATAGGTGGGGAGGCCTGGGGGTGGGGGTGGAGGCACCGGCGTTGGTGGGCCCAGAGGGCTCAAAGGACTCAGAGGGCTGATGAGCCCGGCCCTGGGGACAGCGAAAGTGCAGTTAGCAGAGGCAACTTACAAGATACCTAGACTTGGGAGAAAAAGAGGGGATCTAGAAGACAGAGACTGTGAGGCTGGCGTTGGGACAGAGCTGGAAGCGAGGTGGACCTGAGAAAAGGAGGGTCACCTTCAGCCTAGCCCTACACACAGAAAAGCACCTCAAATGACAGGCAGCTGAACACAGGCAGACACAGAAATCAGCAACCAAAGAGACACACTCTTATTCAGACACACTCATGTGCACAAGATACAGGCAGAGCAATGGAGAAAAAGACAGCCCTGCCGAGTGCATGGTGCACACCTGTAGCTCTAGGTCCTCAGGAGGCTGAGGTGGGAGGATTTATTGAGCCCAGGAAATTGAGGCTGCAGTGAGCTGTGAATGGGCCACTGCACTCCAGCCTGGGCAACAGAGTGAGACCTTGTCTCAAAAAAAGAAAAAAAAAAAAAAAAAACCAGGCTTGGTGTCTCACACCTGTAATCCCAGCACTTTGGGAGGCCGAGATTAGCTGAGGTCAGGAGTTTGAGGCCAGCCTGACCAACATGGAGAAATCCCATCTCTACTAAAAATATAAAATTAGGTGGGTGTGGTGGCACACATCTGTAATCCCAGCTACTCGGGAGGCTAAGGTAGGAGAATCACTTGAATCCGGGAGGCAAAGGTTGCAGTGAACAGAGATCATGCCATTATATTTCAGCCAGGGCCACAAGAATGAAACCCCTTCTCAAAAAAAAAAAAAAAAAAAAAGCCCTTCAGAGAGGCAGGCCAACACACACAGTAACAGACAGAACTCAGCCCATCCATATAGACAGGAACACAACACAGACGCACTCCTCATCAATTTCCCACCCCCACTCAGGTGCTGCACTTGTCACCACTGAAGCCAACATTTCACAGACGCCCAGAGACCACAGGCTGCATGGTCACAGCCCACCAGATACAACATCCAGAGTGGTAATCCCACGGATACTGGTAATCCCAGTACCACAAAGACAGGCCGGCAGCAAAAGCGGATAAAGATCCTACTGCAGTCTACACAGACAGAATGACAGACAGATGCCAAAACCAGACACAAGCCAGCTCACAGACTCACTCTCCAAATAACTGTGCCCTCAGTCGTTCCTCAGTGCCCACCTGACCCCAATCCTTAGCACATCTCTTTAGGTCGACTCTTCCTCCCTCCCCTACTCTCCACCGCCACCCCCTCCTCACTGAAGCCCCCTTACTCTTGGGGACAGGGCTGGTGGCCTCGGCGTCGTCGCCAATGCAGATACCAAAAGGCTCCCAGGCCAGCAAGGACAATGACCAGGATGCCACATGTCAGCCCCACAGCCAGGCCTGCCACATCCACTCGTCCACGCCCTGCAGGGAAGCAGGGAAGGGGAGCCACTGTCTCTGGAACTGTCACCCCCCCCAACATCAAAATTCCTTCCCACTGAGGTAATAGAAGGGACCATGGATCAGGCAGAGCTGGGGTCCCTTCCTAGCCCTGTGACCTCAGGCAATTCACCTCATTCCTTTCTCTGAGCCTCCACTGCCAGTTCTGTAAAATGGGAACCATAAAGCTGGGCGCAGTGGCTCATGCCTGTAATCCCAGCTCTTTGGGAGGCTGAGGCAGACAGATCACAAGGTCAAGAGTTCAAGATCAGCCTGACCAACATAGTGA